TTAATTGTATAATTTTAGAAAACATGAAATAAGATAAAGATCAAATTACTTAACTATGTATGTTAATAAACATCATTACAAAACATTTATTTTCATAAAATAACACTAATAAAAGCATTTTTTGTATAAGAATTATGAAATCTATATTAATGAAATAATGCATTATTCAATCAATCATTGATTAATAATATATGAATATTATATAATGAAAGATAATAAATTTAAAAAATAATACAAGTGCCACATTAATTAAAGAAATATAAATAAAAAGAAATGAATAAAACATTATAATATTTATAAAGAATAAAGAAATATATAATTGTATCTTATGAAAATATATTAAAATTAAAAATAGTTAACATATCAATTATATAATCATATTATTATCAAAATATTCAACTAAAAATAATATTTAACTAAAAATTAAAGTAAAAATAAAAACAGATAATTAATAATAATAAAAATATTATTTATTATTTATTCTTTTTATTATGATTAATATTATAATTATCAACTATATCATTTTTTATGTTTAGTTTTGTATATTTATTAATCATTATTATTATTATTCACCTTTTGTTTATATTCTTTATATATTGTTTATTTTATTTTGATTTCTTTTATTAGTATCATGATTTTTGTATTTGATAATATTTTATATAGTTTATTATTTGATTTATTTTGATATCTTTCTCTTATTCTTTCTATTTTTTTCTTTATATGTATTCTTTTCTTCAATTATGTTACATTAATTATATTATTTATTATAACATTCTTATTCTTTTATCTATTACATATATCTCTTCTTTTGTGATATTCTCATTTTTTGTTATTATTTCTTTATTCATTATTATAATGTTGTTTTTATATTATAACAATGTTTCTTATATTGATTTCATTTATTAATATTCATAAATTATATATAAATAATAAAATAAGAGAATATAATAATAAAATAAAGTATTTTCATTCTTATTCTTATTATTATTATTATTTTATATTAGATGATATTTTATTATTTTATATTTGTTTATATTGTTTGTTTATATTTTATTATTATTATTTATTGTTGTTTATCTTATATCATTTATTTATTATGTTGTATTGATATTTATCAATGTTAATATGAAATGAATAATAATGAATAAATATAAAATAAGAATAAAAAGATATAAGAATATAACATAAATAATAAAATAAGAAATATATAATAGATATAAAGATAAAAGAAGAATAAAATAAATAAATATAAAATAATATAAATAAAATAAAAAATAAATAAAAAAGAATAAAATAAATATTTTATTATATTTTTATTTATCTTTTATTCTTATTTCTTTTTATTATTTATTAAATTAACACATTGAATATGATTATTTCAAATAAAATAAAACAAGAATGAAATATGAACATTTTTATATTCATCATTTCATTTATTGATTGATGAAATGTTCATATTCATTTATTGATTTTATTTTATATTCTTTTTTAATTTTATATTTCAAATAAATAATAATGAATAAAATCATTTCATTTCAATTACAATAATTCGTTGTGGTGTGAAACATTCTGGATATTGTTTTCCACAAAGTGCATTTTTAATTCCTTTATATTCATATGATTCTTGTTTACAATATGATTCTGTTTTATAATTTTCTTTAAAAACACGAATATCACTTCCAAATCCATATCCAGACAAAATGGGAGTAAACCCAAAACCAAACAAATAATCACTTGATTGTTTACCTAAAAGAAATGAATGTCGTGGATCTTTAATATCAAATTTCATCATTTCTTGTATTCTTCCATTTGATTTTAATGAAAATAAAAATGATTTTGGATCATTTATCCACCTATTAATTTCATCAATTTTCTCATTAACATAACCACCAAATTTATTTCCATCTTCATCTTCAATGATAATTATTATATTTTCTTTATTCTTTAATCTTTGAATAAATACTGATGTGTTCAAATCCCAATCATCAATATCAGAATCAAATAATATACTTACTATTTTTCTATTTGTCCAATCTTCTATTTGTTGTTTTTCTTCACTTGATAGAGTATATTTCTTTTCAACTCTTTTACTTTCCCAATCTATTCTAATATTTTCTAATTTTTTTTCATAGGTCATTCTCCCTTCTTTATTTCCTTCAATTAATTTATTAACTCTTATTTCTTCAGTTTTCATCACTTTTGTAATGATATTATCAACTTGTTCTGTTAATATTTCTTTATCTCCATATCTAGTTTCATTAATTCTTTGATAGAAGTTCTTTAAGTTATTTATCATTATTATTCCTTCTTTTATTTTATTTCTAATTATTTCATTTCTTCTAACTATTTCTTCTTTTCTATCATAAATTCCTTCAATTCTTTTTATTTTATCTTCTGGGCTTTCATTTTCATTATCAATTATCTCTTCTCCAATTCTATTTTCCCCATTCTCATTA